TTTGTTTATTGTTATTAATTTTATTCTTTCAATAAATCCCACGGACAACAATTTTGTTCATAAACGTGGGCGTTGTACAGCTGTTTTGCCTGTCTCAATGTACCGTGCATTACGTGATCGGATTGGTATCAATTATACAGGCAAAAGAAAAGAAACCAAAGGGAGGGCTAATGAGTCGTTTTACCAGCATGAAGAAGTCAAAATCTCCGCCACCTGCTACCTATTCAATGGATAATCCGGTGTTTGACGATGGGAGTGCAGCTGTGAGTCCGCAACACCCTGTACATGTCAGGTAGGAAGGCATGCATGAAATCAAACATTATGTACAGAATTCCTTTCTTTAACACTTTTCGGATTTTTTTGTACATGTGTATGTTTGTCGATATATTTAAATGTTGTGGCTCCGTCTTCTAACCGCATTTCTTGTTGTATGTGTGTGTGCGTGTGTCACACTTCTCAATAACTTTTTTTTTAAAATATTAAATTGTATCCTACTACCTAGTTTCATGACTTTCAGACTACTTCCGTATATCTGTGTACTCAGAAAGTGAACGTATTTCTTAGAAATAAGTATCCATCTCACCTGTAACAAAGGATATGAAGCGCATAGTTAATAATTAAGCATGTATCAACAAAGTCTGAGGTGTTTTAACATTTCATATAAAATTTAATTTAAACATTTATTTAGGTAAAGAAGGAAACAACTCTCTCTGTCTCTCTAACGTGTAGCAACACGTAATGGATTATTATTGTGTTGCAAACTTTGGGTGATGACTGTAAATTTATGTCTTGTTGGAATGTGTTTATTCATAATTTGTAACACATACAAATGTAGAACTCTTTTCTCTCTTTCTCACTGTAAGTTATGTTCCTCTCAAGCCTGTGTACTTATACCTATAAAATTCTCTGTTGTTTTTACCTGGAGTTCATTATTTTTACTCCCTAATTCATTAATTGCTACCTGGCTTCTTTCCCTTTGTGTGCTTTATTATAAACTAATAACATGATTCCCATTCATTATGTGAAGAATTAATGAAATTCACTGTAGAGAATTTTCACATATGATCTGCAGATTGGGGATTTTTAATGTTCTTAATTTTAAAAACTATATTATTATAGGCTGCTTCTGTACTTAACAGTTATAGGTACTGTGTTTTGAACTTACGCTGGTGACCACGCTGTCTAAGGTGTGTGTCTTGATTGTTCTGTCACAGGGATCATGGATTCGAATTCTGCTTGAGGCATGAATGTTTGTCCTCATTTCTCTGTGTTGTGCTGCCTGGTGTGCATGGGCAATCTCCTCATCCACGGAGTCCTACCAACTGTCAAAAAACAGTCCCAAAACTGTTCTTTGACAACTCTAATGTCTTGAATTACCCAAGCAGTTTTCTGATCATAATACAAAACTAAGATTTCCAGGTTGATATTTGCCAAAAAAAATTAATTTGTATTATTATTGCTCATTTTTGAAACTGTCTGTTTTGGTGAATGGGTACCTTGCTGCTTACCTAACAAAACCTAACCTTGCACTGTGTGTTGTTAGTATGTTTGTGTATCCTTATGCCACTCGCAGGTCTGGCTCGTGTCCCAGTCAGCTTCTACAGGTTATGCCACTAGATGGTAGCACTGCACACCACCGCCTCTTTGGTTCCTCTGCTTCCTCGGGCTCACAGAGAATTAAACATAAAGACCAACGGCCCAATGTAGTGATGGCTAATCTGGCCCACTTTGGAAGGTTGGTTGTTTATTTTGTCTTAGGTTTGCTCCAATCCCTCCTTCAGAAATATGTTGCATTTTGCAAAGTTCATGTGACATCTTCATTATGTTGGTAAATTCAATTAATGCGTGGATTGTGTCACCTCCTACTCCATCTTTGTCATTTTCAATATCACCATATTGCATATAGACTTAGTTTTGTACATCAGTTCTTTTTCACATGTTAACATCCTTTGTGTTGTCAGATGTGTATGAGCATAATTCAATATTTATTTTGCTCAAAAATAAATAAATGTGTAAAATTGTCTGTCTATTCAGTCATCCCTCACTTCCGTAAACCATTTTATTTTATAATTTGACCATTATTTTCCAGTAATATGGGATTATAAAATATTCTAAACTGCTTGGTAGCAAACATTTCTCAAATTTAATCTGCTCTTTATTTTTCATGAACTTGGATTTTGATTTGTTCCTGTCATTCCCAAATATTTGAACTTTGTTTCCGAATTTTTAAGGATTTATTAGCTGTCGTGAGATACGATATTTGATTTTTAACAGTGTTTTGTTGTTTGTTTTTGCCTTTACAGATAATTTAAGATTGGAATTCTTTTGGTACTGCTTTTTGTCAGCGGCTAATATTATAATTTTGATAGGTCAAGTGATGTGACTGCCTGTGGTACTAGTGCGAATCATCGCAAGTCTAACTCATTAGATGCTGGAACTGGTGCAGACAGTGGAGGAGGAGGAAGGAAAACAAATAAACCTCTTGTTCCACCTGTAAGGGAAAGGTAAATAACTAAGAAACATATGATAGTAGGCATGCAAGGTTATACAACACTTTGTATTGTGTGACAGTATCTTTCGTCATTATTTTGTTATGAGGATACTTCACACAGAACAGTCTGTTTGGATCTACACCCGTGCACTAAGATTCCTTTCCAAGGTGGCGCCTGATATGGTGAGAAGGAAAGACCTTGGTCCTGCTCTGAATCAAAGCTGTTGTCCAGCTTGTAGCGTGGTTACTGTATATAATGAGCTATCCCAGCTACAAGCTATTACTGTATATAATGAGCTATCCCAGCTCCAAGCTGCATATTATACAACATTATGATGCAACCACCATATTTATAGTAGCCACTTGTGTGTTTTGAAATGTGCATCTGATGTGACCATTATTCAACAGATTTCGCTGCATCGTGCCTTATCCTCCAAACAGCGAATCCGAACTAGAGCTTTGGGTTGGTGATATTATTTATGTACACAAGAAACATGAGGATGGCTGGTACAAGGGAACGCAGCAACGCACAGGCCGCACCGGGCTGTTTCCAGCAAGTTTTGTGGAGGGTTGCTGAGATTCCCCACCATGCATGATGGAGTCTTGCATCTAACCCAGCCAAACAGCCAGCAGCAGGCAAAGTGTATGGAACGGGTTGCGGAGGCATGATGAAGTTGTGCATTGGGTTTCCGGTTGATTTGTACAGGTATCATTCTTTAAGCAGGTGTGAAATATGTCATGATACACTGTTCATTTTCCACATGAAGAATTGGAAGTCGTGATGTGGCATAAATTGTTAGTATCAGCAAAGAAAGCTGTTCAACGGGTTTTTCTAGATCATCTCTGGTAAAAGTTTACAGTAAATAGGATCTGAAGGGGAAGAGGGTTAATTGATGTACTGCCAGAAATAAAAATGATTAATTTAAACTTTTGCCATTCACATGCATCTTTGGCGAGTGTTTGTTATAGACTAGTAACAGACAAAGGTGCCATTGAGACATAATTGCATGTTTCTTTTTGGATGCCAAGAAATAGCTATTTCTGTGTGTTCTGTTTAATAAATTATGTTGTTTTCAATGCAGTGTTTGTCTTCTGTGAATGAACGCTGAATTTAACGATGTACCAGATTCGATTGGTATGAAATTTTTATACCATAAATGTTAAATACAGTGAGTCCATCAAAAGATCGGTTATAAAGTATTACTTGTAAGGGCAGATGAATTTACTTGAGGGTGAGCAGTCACAGGTGTGATCATTTGGTGTTTTTCTTTATTAATATGCAGATTTATTTTTTTAGAAAAATAAGTCTCAGTTGGTGCTCATTACGACATTCGTCTTGTTATATCAGTGTGGTACTAATGGTCTGTTTACATAGAATAACACGACATCACATGGAAATTAATGTAGAAAAATTCAAAGGTATTGAATTTTAGGAAGTTGCGTATGAATATTTATTTATTGTTTTCTCCACCCTCCATTTCTCAAATTAGTAATGTTACCACAAGTCTGAACATTTTACTTTTCGTTGCCAAATATTTTTTTTTCTGTCCACACACGGGCTTTTGAATTGTGATTATTTGGTTTATTTGACTGCTGTCAGTAGGCCAAATGATGATAGTTATAACATTTTTACTTTACGTGTGTGGAAATTATAGTGATTTTACAGGTCTATGTACGTACAAGGTTAGAGTTGGCTTTACATAAGTTAAGATATGCACAGTCATGTATACTCTTGACATTTGTTTAAATACTATGTGTAAATATATTGTGTATTTTCAGATCCATATATTAACTTATATATCAACCAGTGTGTATCACTGATGATGTTGAGTATGACTTTCAAATCAGGGTAATAAACCAAACTTTTCTGTATGATTCTCATACTGAGGACTGAGAAAGAACCAAAGGGAGTTGTATCTTGAAGTAATTTATCAGAGCTGGATAAATAATTTTGAACTTGTGCTGTACCGTAGTTCATTAATAACATTTGAGTATTTATATGACCAACTTCATCATGTATAATGCTGATGATGGATCCCACAGAAATATATAAATATAAATTATGTTTATCCAGTGGAATCTTAAAGTCATTAATTTATGTGTTACTCGCACAAATACATTATTTCGTATGAAAGTTTTGTGAGCACATTGCAGCAGAGACTTTCCTTTCTATTCCTTTGCGTCAGCTCAGATACTCCCTTTCATGCTTTGTACCAGTCACTTCAGATTACAAATTGAACTAGTAGATTGTACGCTGTAGGAGACAATAATTATTGTTTCCAAGTAGAAGTATCTCTTTGAGTCATAGAATTCTAATGAAGCAAAATGACGGTTCAGTTTAATTTGCAAATTTTCACATAGTGCTTATAGCCGCAAAACAGGATTAGGGTTTCATAATAAATAATAAAATAGTTGTGAGGTTATTTGTAATAAAAACAAGTTGTATTTGTCTTCATATTTTTGTATAAAATACAGGTATTACTTGAAGTATGAATGAGGAGTAAAAATGTTTGTAAATTTTTTGTTGTTATTAAGTAACCTTATAGTAGTTGTGTATGCGAGTGTGGACGCACATGCCTGTGTGAGCATAATTTGGTTCTGCATGTTTTAAAGAAATGTTAACTTGTCATCTTTCAACCTAGTAATAGTACTTCTAGTTACCGAACTACTTCCAAAGATGGCATTATGTGTATAAACATGTGAAGATTATGTTAGTATGCATGGAAAATGAACAGTTAATATAGATATGGAATGTTGCAATTTAGTTTTGGTTATATTTATTTAGAACTCAGAACTGAATTTAAGCTTACCAACTTCTCTTGTACTACTTGCTCACTACATGTCTTAAAAGCCTGTAAATAACAATAGATATATTCTTTCATTCTTTATTGGCTCCGAAGCAATTCACCGTATAGATTTATTCTATATACTGCAGCAGATTATGCAATTTCTGTAGTTGTATGGACATAATATTCAGTTTATACAGTTCCACTTACCTATTTCATGAATTTGATGTATTGGGAAAATTCAAATTTATGTAATTTTAAACTTGTGTTCTGTGCAGTTGATTATTTAAATAATATTAAGTACTTGAGAATGTTGTGTATGTAAATTTTTTCATCAGTAATTTAATATTGAGGAGCATGGTATTTCATGCACCCACCTTTCAGTCAGTTACTACATAAAATTCAGGCATGTAGGATTTGACGTTTCCACAGCTTTTAGCCTGAAGATGGCTGTCTTCTGTGTTGTTGCTCTGTGTGGTCTGGTAAAAATTTACCGACGCCCTGATGATTGAGGCGGCAAGGACCTCTGAAATGTTGGTAAACTTCTACCAGACTGCATGGTGCAACAACCTGTAAGACAGCCATCTTTAAAATTCAGGCAGTCTGAATGTGCCAGGATTTAGGTATTTATTTTGTGTACAGTGAAATAGTACATGCAATTCATGGAAACCTATTTGAATGTCTCTGTATTAACTTTTGTACATTACTTATGATAACACATATTGTTACGGATGTGGGGCAGCGGTGTGTTAGGAATGCATTCTAAAGCCAGTTCATTAATAAATTAATATTACATTTGAATTTTCGATTATCTTGTCCACAGAATAGTGCATTTATGTATAATGCGTAGTAATTATGTTAAAAGTTGTGAGTAAATAAACTCAGCTGTGATTCAACATTAAAAGAAATTATTGCTACTTACATTGAAATAAATATACATTAAAATTTATTTTAACATGTCTGACAAAGATTTCATATAACAAAGAAGTCCTAATCTCCATTGAGGTACCGTTGTGTTTTTAAGTTAAAAATGTTACATTAAGAGCTGATATATAACAAAGTCTACAAATGTTGCCATGTGAGGCTGTATTGTTTCTGTAAAAATAGCTTTGTGCTAATGTTTTACACCGTTGTGAATTTGGGCTCTTGACATTTTATGTTCTGTCTTCTAGCATTGTCTTCATTTTATGTGGGTTAATGGACAAAATACCTCCAGTACCTTCTGTCTTCTAGCTTTCATTTTTTATTTCATCACACCTCTGTCCTTTTTTTGGGATCTCTTCTAGTACATGGCTGAACTATCCTGTTCTTGCGCACCTTATGTGTCTCTTTATTTTAATTCTGATGCTTTTCTCGGTGTCCTTTCTCTACCCTTTATTTTTATATGGTCAAACCAGTGTAGTCATTTCTCTTAACCTATTAACAAATTTTGGATTCCAGTTTCTTCTCTAAAGTTGTAATTTCTAATTCTATCTCGTATTTTATGTGACATCTAAGTGTCACTATTCTTCTGTAATTCATATTTTTTATATACGAGGAAAAAGTGACTAAAATTTGTTTTTACGTTTTAAAGTGAAGGCTACCCCACCAAAGTGTTATTTATGTTACATTGTACCAAACTATATGAAACCTTAAGTTGTATATTGAGTCTGAGACATACTTGAATACTTAAATAATATATCTGCATAGAATATATTAAATTTCATGATCTGATTTTTCTTTATTTTACATGGGTATGTTCTGGTATTTATATTAAGAGTACTCATAAACGTGACGGGTCTGTCTGTAGATATTACAAAAGGCCTGGCTTATTGTAAAGTAGGAAGACTGCGTTTGGGAGGGAACTTGTTAAAATCAAAAGCCATGTCCTGTGTGCTGATTGGGGTGTTATCGGCTTCTCAGGCCATGCAAGCAAATACTAGGATAATGTCATCTTCTAAAGGATCTTACCCTGTTATTTCTGTAATACTTTACAGAAATGTTTATCACTTTACAACTTATCTGTGATTTGTTAAATTTTCTTTTGAAAGCTGATGCTTTTCCTCGGAAGTGAGCGTACCATGAAATGAGGTAGTTACCTGCAGTGGCTTGAGATTTCTTGAACTTCGATTTTTTGCCACTAAAGTGGATCAGCTTTAACTCTGCACAGACATGCTTTCCTTGTTTTATTTTTCATTCAGTTTATCATTTAATTTTATTAAAATTGTAATCCATCTCAGTGTTAAAGGGATGCAAATTCTTTACCTCAGTGGAGGGTGGTCCAGGAAGTTGCTGTTGTCAGACCATGTCCCTTACAGTATGACATGCCACCTTAACATTATCTTAATTAACTGAAAATCATCATGAATTTATGTGTATGTATACTGCCATAATTCACAATTTTCATGTGACATATATACCTAGCCTTTTATCACAAATTTGTTTAAATATACATTTAACTTTATATTTTAATAAAAGAAACTTTTGAAACAAACAGTTCTACAGTTGTTTGTATGACAAACGTCAGTGTAGAACAAAACATGCACTACTGCCATTTCTGTGTTTTATGAGGATGTCTACAAGGGTCGATCAAAAAGTAATACTCTCTGTTCTTTATTTTATACTCATGAACATAATGCCATATGTAATGACCTCTACTGAAGATAGTTATTTTTAAGTTTGGTGTTTGTTTTTGTCAGCAGTTTTCTTTAGCATTAAATACGCATATGTGTTCTTGAAATTTCTAAAAATGTTCCTCTTCATCCTCCTAGGCCACTATGACAGCATTTTTTAGTGTATTATCATCACGCCTGCATAATTGTACTCTTTTTGAAATTATTGAAGTATACAGATTGGTATCTCGCCTTTGGCAACTGAATGTACAGGAAATGTATTTTGTTTTGCTATTTTCTAATCTAGTTACCACCTGATGGATCAAACTGTAACTACACAAAACTGTTTATGGACTAGTACTTGATGTAATTATCATTTACATATTGTAGTGACCTAAGGACACACATGTAGATTGGCCCTTGTATATTTCAGTAACAGTGAACTAAATTCATTTGCTGCATTTCTTTACAAAATGTTAATATGGAGTTAATTCTGTATTGCAGTTTATTAAACAAATTTTTTTGTCCTTTTGCCTGAGCTGGGAGACAGAAAATGGTTGATCTAACTACACTCTGGAAGGTCAAAATTGATTTCCCCGTCTATTTAGAAGAATTACGGATGTATATTAAATTGACAGACAGCTCATAACAAAAAAACCTTAAAACCATTTCAATAAAGAAATGCAGTAAATTCTTTGATTAATATAAATATAGTTTCATCTTATAAACCGTGGGTATTACCGTGTAGGATTTGAGGTTTTCATGGCGGTGAGTCTGAAGATTGCTGTCTTCTGGGTTGTTGCAGGGCCCTGATGACAGAGGCAGCATGACCTCTGAAACATTGGTGGAACACTACCAGACCGCATGGCGCAACAACCCAGAAGACAGAAATCTTCATGGGTATTTCTCTTTGGTCCTATGCTATACTAATATTTAACAGAGAACTCTTTGTAATGTGTTGTGAAACCTTTAAGAATACTATTATAATTACAGTATACATTACTATCAAAGTGTGAAAGCTGTGGAGCCATGAACTGTATTGTTTTGAGGCAGTGATATATTTGGTCCACACTTTGTGCCTCACAGTCACAAAATAACGTATAGTGGAATATGAGATGAATATTTTACAAGTAATGTGTGTGACGTGTGTTCATAAGTTCTAATTGTATTTATGTAGGGATGGGTGATAGACAAAAGTAGTAAGTTTACAAGTGTGAATTAATAATAACAATAATATAAATAAGGCACATATATTGAAATTGATTTAAATTGTGATGTTTACATCGTAACATATCAGTTCATAGTGTTTTTTTTTGTCATGCTCGTTTGGCAGAAGAGGACATTTTTCCTGCTCTTTGTTGTTTATTTACCTGTACTCTAGTGCCATGCTCCTGTGCTGTAATTTTAATTTATTTGAGTTAAAGACTGTAACTCATATTGTTCAGGATGTAGTTGTTTTTGTAAATTTATTGTACTTTATAACACTGTTATGTTACATTCTTACAACATAAAGTTTCATGCAGAATTTGACAGCACTGTAGCATATCAGACTTTCTATTCTTTGCTGAATGAGACTGTGTTGTGTGATACAGTTTTGTCATTACGTTCTTGTGTGCAAAACCTTGTATGTGGAGCTTCCTTCATGGATCATTTTGTTGGTTTACTTTCTTTATTGAGGAAGTGGATTCAAATCCGTTTTTAGTGGCATATATTTTTAGTCACCTTCACGTCCTAATCATATCTTGGAATTTATGTTTCTATTTAAATTATACTAATGTAGTTGATGGGAGAAAAAAATTTGGCATCGTGTTGAACTGTAACTTTGCATTGAGTATGTAACTATGGTAAAAACACATGCATATAAACTTCAAAAATTCATGATTACATTTGACAAGTGTAAACATTTCTGACCAGTAATTGGGTACTCCTTCAGTTGGTCTGTTGCTACAGATAAATGTATGAAAAATGTATTTGACAGGCAAACTGTGTGGTACACCACGGAAGCAGTGTATTTCAGTCCTAGGTCATATGTGGGGAATGTTTAATGCTTGCATTGTTTACATTTCATAAACATGTAGTTATAAATAAATTGTGGTCATCAGAATATTTCTCAGTTTGATGATGTGTAGGCCAAAGAATCAAAGTGCCTCTGATACTTTGTCATGTATTTCTTCCTCCAGTTAATACACATAGAGAATTTGTGAAACTTTAATTGAGAATTGTGTTCAACGTAGGAGTTTGAACTATTTTATGATATAGATCTTTACAATTTTGTTGAAATTATTTTCATCATATAAAATAAAATAGCAGCCACAAGAATGTTATGTTTACTTACTTAACAGAATGAAATGTGGACAATGATAAAACTGCAGGGAAGCAAAATATACCATGTACCCACTTTGGTCTGAAGTGGCATTAATCTGTAGGTCCCCTCTGCTGGCCAACATGCTTATGTTTGCCCTATCTTTGGAGTGACAAATTCTGTCATATGCATGCCCCCACCTCAAAAATGGACTCTGGGACTTGCCTACAGTTGTCAGAGGCCACGAAAGATCATGAACCATTGAAATTGGGTATTAGATACTAACCAGATGATTCCTGATTTTGTGTGATGACTAGATGTTCTTTATATCAATTGTATCATACTGCCATATGCATGTACAGTAAGTGGATTTTGTGTTCATTTTTTGAAGAATGCAGTTAGAAGTTTGGCTTTGTTTCCTAAATATATGAAGTAATAATCAGTATTTGTACCTATATTCACAGTTTCAGAAAACCTCTAATGATTTGTATGTATGTAATTTGGTTTTAGCTTAGAATTTTTGAGACTGTTTTTTAAAGTCACCGTCTTCCATTCTGGAGTCATTGTAACAACCATAACTTGTCTTGTTTCATTTTTGTGCTGCTGATACCAGATTTTCACATTTTCAGGAATTACTACTATTAACATCTGCACCATGAAGATGTATGGGGCAGTGAAGGTATACTCCATACTTTTTTTTGTATATGTGTGTGTGTGTATCTTGGCACTAATTAAAGGATGAGTGGTGAGCTTTACCTCCAGCCACCTAAGTCCTGTTGAAGGTACCCATTACAAAAGTGGCTGGTTGATGCCCATAGCCAATATGGATGTCATGGAGAATTACAAAGCTCCTGCTTCTGCTGGGAATTTAACCCTGATAATCCATCAAATAGCAAGTCATTGTTTATGTAGGTATGAAATCTTGATCCTTCAAGTGGTATGTTGAGTTAATGGAAATTGTGTTTTTGTTTGCAGGACAGTGGATGAAGATTATTTGCTATGGCTCTAGTATGCAACAGAATAACATGCTTATTTTAAGAAAAGTGAGAAAATAATTGCTTAAGTAAAGAAAGAGCAGGATAAAACAAGCTGTGGAGGAAAAGGAAGGAATTAGGGATAGGAGGTGTAAGATGTTTAGGGAGTTTTAAAATTAGTGCCTATTTTGATGGTGGGGAATGTGTGTTCCATTGGGTACAAATTGGTTTTACTTCTATCTCAAAAGCTTGTTTTAATTAGATTTCTTTTATTGTCGTGCAGAACCAATTATGCTCTTTAAGTAACAATGTTTCCTAATGGAACGTATACCGAGATCTCTGCGTTACTCGCCACAGCTGAGACTTTGGAATGACTACAATAACTTTGTAGAAATACTGTAAATGTCTTTAAACATTTGTATCATTGTCTGATATTAATAAATCCTCAGTTCATGCAAATTATTGCCTTATTTTTACATTATTACGTGGATAATTTGAAAAGTTATAGAATCGTGAATGAAGTTCCTCATGAACAGCAAAGGACGCTATTCCCATAATTCTCTGTAGTTTTATCCGTCGCATCGTAGTTCAGTTGAGGGAAGACCATGGCGGAGGTGTTTAAAATAGGCGACTTAGTGTGGTAAGTTTAAGTGGCAAATATTGCTGTTGTGGGTGAATTTAATTTGTATGTCTTAATGTAGGTTCTTCTCTGCTTGTTCACTAACTGGTTCGTTTTATTTCAGGGCGAAAATGAAAGGGTTTTCTCCTTGGCCAGGCCGGGTGAGTACTGCAAATGTTACACACTGTTACAGTGGAACCGTTAAGTAGCCTGCCAGTACCATTAGCATGTCAGAATGGTGCAAAGGTCTCATTATAGACAATTTCAGAGAGACATAATGCTGGTTTTAATGAAACATATGTTTAAATTAGAATATGCTGTGTTTATGTATAACATAAATTGCTGTACGTATGAGGAATGTAAACAAACAGCAGTTGATCTGTTGAGAACAGGAATTCATACTTGTAGGTTAGGAAAGTATGAAATACGTCTAAAACTGAGAGATTAACATGCAGTTTTATGTTGTGAACTTCAGACAATTTTTAATACATGCTTCATGTAATTGTTTAATGAGATGTGTGTGCTAAACCAACTTTTTTAGTGTATTATATGTGATCCCGTGAACATTGAAATGAGCTTAAATTTTTTTGCTAGAAAATGTAGGTGCAATAGGCATCCTGCGCCGTGCTTGATTTCCAGATTCAGGAGTTATGCAAAAGTTGAGCATACCAGGTAATGCACATAACAATTAAAAAAGAATGGTGTCAAAGAAATTGTAGACTTCAGCTTCAGATTACATTTGTTTATAATGACACCTGGTGTTTAAATGTTTAGTAGCTTGTCAGAATAGAATTATTTACATTCTGTTGATATTTCATAATACTAAAAAAGGATGTGAAATGTTATAATATGCATACAGTGCTTTGCATACATATATAATAATTTATACCAGTATACATTTTTCAACATAGTTGTTTGAATAGTTTCAAGACTTTTGACCAATGTGTTATGAAATGTTCCACAGGAACCTTTACAAAAGTGGCTGGTTGATGCCCATAGCCAATATGGATGTCATGGAGAATTACAAAGCTCCTGCTTCTGCTGGGAATTTAACCCTGATAATCCATCAAATAGCAAGTCATTGTTTATGTAGGTATGAAATCTTGATCCTTCAAGTGGTATGTTGAGTTAATGGAAATTGTGTTTTTGTTTGCAGGACAGTGGATGAAGATTATTTGCTATGGCTCTAGTATGCAACAGAATAACATGCTTATTTTAAGAAAAGTGAGAAAATAATTGCTTAAGTAAAGAAAGAGCAGGATAAAACAAGCTGTGGAGGAAAAGGAAGGAATTAGGGATAGGAGGTGTAAGATGTTTAGGGAGTTTTAAAATTAGTGCCTATTTTGATGGTGGGGAATGTGTGTTCCATTGGGTACAAATTGGTTTTACTTCTATCTCAAAAGCTTGTTTTAATTAGATTTCTTTTATTGTCGTGCAGAACCAATTATGCTCTTTAAGTAACAATGTTTCCTAATGGAACGTATACCGAGATCTCTGCGTTACTCGCCACAGCTGAGACTTTGGAATGACTACAATAACTTTGTAGAAATACTGTAAATGTCTTTAAACATTTGTATCATTGTCTGATATTAATAAATCCTCAGTTCATGCAAATTATTGCCTTATTTTTACATTATTACGTGGATAATTTGAAAAGTTATAGAATCGTGAATGAAGTTCCTCATGAACAGCAAAGGACGCTATTCCCATAATTCTCTGTAGTTTTATCCGTCGCATCGTAGTTCAGTTGAGGGAAGACCATGGCGGAGGTGTTTAAAATAGGCGACTTAGTGTGGTAAGTTTAAGTGGCAAATATTGCTGTTGTGGGTGAATTTAATTTGTATGTCTTAATGTAGGTTCTTCTCTGCTTGTTCACTAACTGGTTCGTTTTATTTCAGGGCGAAAATGAAAGGGTTTTCTCCTTGGCCAGGCCGGGTGAGTACTGCAAATGTTACACACTGTTACAGTGGAACCGTTAAGTAGCCTGCCAGTACCATTAGCATGTCAGAATGGTGCAAAGGTCTCATTATAGACAATTTCAGAGAGACATAATGCTGGTTTTAATGAAACATATGTTTAAATTAGAATATGCTGTGTTTATGTATAACATAAATTGCTGTACGTATGAGGAATGTAAACAAACAGCAGTTGATCTGTTGAGAACAGGAATTCATACTTGTAGGTTAGGAAAGTATGAAATACGTCTAAAACTGAGAGATTAACATGCAGTTTTATGTTGTGAACTTCAGACAATTTTTAATACATGCTTCATGTAATTGTTTAATGAGATGTGTGTGCTAAACCAACTTTTTTAGTGTATTATATGTGATCCCGTGAACATTGAAATGAGCTTAAATTTTTTTGCTAGAAAATGTAGGTGCAATAGGCATCCTGCGCCGTGCTTGATTTCCAGATTCAGGAGTTATGCAAAAGTTGAGCATACCAGGTAATGCACATAACAATTAAAAAAGAATGGTGTCAAAGAAATTGTAGACTTCAGCTTCAGATTACATTTGTTTATAATGACACCTGGTGTTTAAATGTTTAGTAGCTTGTCAGAATAGAATTATTTACATTCTGTTGATATTTCATAATACTAAAAAAGGATGTGAAATGTTATAATATGCATACAGTGCTTTGCATACATATATAATAATTTATACCAGTATACATTTTTCAACATAGTTGTTTGAATAGTTTCAAGACTTTTGACCAATGTGTTATGAAATGTTCCACAGGAACCTAGGCACAGATGAGAGGATAATATTAAAATGCATCTCAAAGTAATTATGTGGGAGGGTGTGGACTGACTTAATTTGGCTCAAGATACAGTCAGGTTGTGGGGTGTTGGTGAATACAGTAGTTACACTTTGGGTTCCATAAAAAAGAGGGAATTTTTTGACTAGCTGGGTAACTGTTGGGTTGTCAAAGACTTTACTCTGTGAGTTAGTCTACTTGACCTATACGAAGTCATGACATAGTTTTTTCAAGTTTCTCCTAGCAAATGCTGGTTCATAATATTAGGCCATGAATGCTTGGATGATTCGCCCCTTTTTTCCTTACCCTAACCTGAGGATGGAGACAGATCCAGTCTGTATTTTTTAAACAGGTAACCCAGAGGAACAGTATCCAAAGTAGCAGTCAGTTGAGTTGTATACAGTTATAAATATTCACATGAAATGCAGAGACACCTTTGCGTTGTTTTGTGCTATGGTGCTTTGTCTCGTGAGAGGGGAAGTTTGCAGTTTTAACAGTAGTATTGTAGAACAGGCTGTTGATTTTCCTCTGCATTGTCCATCTTTAAATATTCCCAGATGATTAAAATTACAACACTATGAATTAAACTGACATTACTTTTCTTCTAATCATCTTATGTTCACCAATGTGTGTAATGAGATGTGCTGGGAATCTACGCCCTGTGTAATGTATTAATAATTCATGCTGCTCCTATTCATAACAGAAGCACAGCTGGGCTTAGGGCTTGGTGTCCTGCTTTTGTAGAACATTCGAGATTTGAACTTTTGTCATCATTTAAGTCAGTGGACAGTCAGACAGTTGCAATACAAATAATAATTGTGGCAGACAAATTGGATGATCGGGCGGCAGACATTGCAAACTGAAACACAACAAGACGTATTCTTATACGTGTACACTAGTGGTAGTTGTACACAGTTCTAAATCAGTAATTTATATTAATATAAATTTATCATTTTTATTAACCTTTACAAGTGATGTAAACTTTGAAAGGAAAGGAACTCGTGATTTCTTGTTGGAACATCTTGTTTCCAAATAAGACATGGTATCAAAACACTAGCTTTTGTGTAAAAAAAAAAACTAGTAAATTTCCCATCAAAGTATTATCACACTGTCATAAATATCCCAATAAACCCCAGAGTCTTTTAACAGCATATTCATAAATACTATCCCTTAAGGTCCAGTATCTCTGAACAGCAGTTGATCACCAACCAACCAGTATACCCACATTTGCTTATTGTGTAGATAAATTTTCACTCTCCTAATGACCTCTTCAATTTAATGTATACAATTTGTATTTGAATAATGTATTTCCAATTCTAGATATAATTTTGTCTGACTTGGTTAATCTCTTGCTTTCAAATTGAAGCCCACTTTAGACCAACATTTGTGATTGTTAGTTACCAATAAATAATAAATTACCATTTTTCATGACAGTATGATCTTAAATGTCATTTTATTGATTAATGATTACCTAATCAATAGAGATTTTAAATGGTTGATAGACCAACAATTTTAAGCACTGTGAAGCAGGTAACTTACTTGTTTCTGATGAATTTTTATTATCATTAGTTTCAGTTTACTAGACCGTGTTCGCCATTTTGGCATTCCTTAGAACTCAACATTTTAGAGGCGCTGTTTCTGCCGTAGGGGGAACGTAATCTGAAGGGCCTGTTTGTAGGAGCTAGTCTGAAGTAGTCTTTCAGTGAGATCCTTCACAGGTTGAGCACTGCTAATACAAAATCCAATGTCTGTATTTGGAGCCCATCACACACTAATCTTTTCTTGCTAGTGTACAAATGCAGCTTGTCATTGTTTTTTTGTTTTATGAATAAAAAGCTGTATATGAAAGTATTGATCAGCCAGCAGCAGCTTCTTATATGTTGTGGCAAATTAGTGATGTGCTTAGATGCAATGGTGCGTTGTGTTAGATCGATACTGTAGTTCATTGTTGAGAGATTTGTCACTTATCGAACGTTCAGAGTGACTCTACGAGGAACAAGTGAATGCCTGATTCCAAATGCTATCCCTCTTATTGGTGCTGTTGGACAAGAACATTAGGCTCATGAGTTGGCTTTATGTAGGCTATTTACACAACAAACAGCTGTGCTGCTCATCTGATGATGGAGAACCTTTAACATTTATATTTCTTGAAGCAAGTAACTGAGACACCAGGTTGTTTATTTGTCATGGAACTCTGAATATTAAGGATAATATAACACTTCCATATAAATTAGGGCTTTTCTGATCAACTGGACACAGGTATAAGGAGTAATCCCAGTTCAGATTGATCCTATACTAAGAAAACTGTATAATTATAATTTGCATTGAGAGTCATGTGATAAGGAGATGTGAAATAACTTCTTTCTTAATTTGTTTGATAATGTATTAATAAGACATCAGCATTTATAGTTTTTCCATATCAATGAAGAGAGGGTCGCATATTTGCTAGTTTCGATCATCATTTTGTCTTGCTGTGCATTTTTTTTATAGTGACACTCAGTGGTGTTTAATAATAGGATGATTGATGGACAAGATGTCTGATTTCAAGTGCTGCCTTCTCATTTGTGTGGAGAGTCTGAGGAAACCCACAAAAGCTCTGAATACAAAGCAGAAATGCTAACATTTGTCAATGACATCTAATATCTGTTGTGAATTTTTATTCCAATCCAGAAGATGGATGTAACAGGGAATTTGATGTTTGAGTGAATTTCACTTGTTTCTTTAAGAGCCTCACTTTGGTAGAGTTGTGTTAGGTCTTCATCAGAAATAAAGGCTGAACTGTGGTTAAATAAGGACCACCAGGGGTTCTTGCATTTGGTAGGACCATGTAAATTGAATGTGATGATTAACGTTCCTTTTTATCTGTAGTATGACTGTCTTTGGTATCTTCACCTATTTGATTCACCTTTATTTATAGGTGTCAAACCCAACCAAAGATTTGAAAAGACCTGCTGCCAAGAAACAAGCCTTGCATTGCATATTCTTCTTTGGCACAAATAATTAGTAAGTATAAATTTATAGGTTAGGATTAGTGTTTGCACTACACATAATTTAATGGTATATTGCTGTTTTTTTTATATTAATTCTTTCGTTGAACATTGTAATTATACCAAATTAATTATTTTTCCAGTGCCTGGATTGAAGAAAGTCAGATAAAGCCATATTTTGAATTTAAAGATCAACTTATCAAATCAAATAAATCAGGAGCATTCAAGGATGCACTTCATGCAATTGAAGATTTTATAAAAAGTAATGGGGATGTAAGTATGTGTTTAAGTTTTCTTAACTGCTTGTCAACTTAACTCTGTTCCTTCGAATCCTTTCGTTTACATTCAGAGCTTCATCTAATGCCAACCACAAATGCTGTGAGGTGATGTGTTTATTAAATTTCACAACACATTACAATATTACATAAAATATATATTGCTAAGAATTACATGCTGCAGTACTTTGTGTAATGTTGGTGCAGTTCTACTATTCATTTGATTTTTTCCGTAACTACAGTTCATTAAAATTGAAATTGACCTTTGCAAGTGTGCCATCTGTCAAGAGTTTTCTGGGGGTCATTTACTTTTGTCAGGTTGGGGTGACAGTGTCATCGTGGAAGATTCTCTCGGGCCTCTCCCTGTGTAGCTGCCCTTCTGACTGGAGATTCTCTGCCCAGTCACTACCATTCACAGAAAGGCGTAGAGGTCTTTATGTAAAGAGTCCATTATTGTCCAATTTTAGAGAAGAATGTAATGTGTTGGTAAATTTAGTAGAACTCCCCAGTATGACATATGAAAATGCATTTAACTATTCTTGAGTTGTTTCACATGTTTAAGATTCATTTTTGCAACGTGTAGCAAATCCCTAAATAATCTTTAGATTGTGGTCCTCTGGGTTATGCGCCATGTAGTCTTCTTGTACGTCAGCATTTCAGAGGCACAAGCCTAGAGAATTGAGAACCTAGAAGACCACACTTACACTGGTGTGGAAACTTTAAATTCTCCAACAAAAATGTTGGTTTCAGAAATTTAATGACATGATTGATCCTATGGACCCTGATGCAGAATTCAACAGATTACGTGAATCTGTTACAGAAAAGAAAGAAACAAAACCAAGAATCAAAAAGGTAAGTTTGTGTATTATTTTTTTATGAAAATAACTTTTTTTTGGTAGTGGTATATAGATGTGATTACCGTTGTCAGCGGTTCAAGTGGATTGTTAAAAAGCATCAGAGTTTGTGAAATACGCAAGGAAAACTTTTATTTTCTTGTGTAGGTATGTTTTTAGTTTTAGGCAGCATGGAATCCCAGAAGTGTTAAAAGATGGCAGTAGTGTTTGACTGCCGCCATAAAAAATAAACAATCGATGGAAACTTGTTTTTGACAAGATGGGGTACTCCCACATTACCATTGTGGTGTCAGGGCCTATCTTGACAGTACTCTTTCCGATTGATGGTTAGGATACAGAGGATCGGTTGAGTACCCCACCCCCACAATCGCCAGATTTAACCTCGCTTAATTCTTTATTGTGGAGTTACTTGAATGATGCGGTATACGGCACAAAACAGCAACACTTCAAGAGTTTGGCAAGACACTGGACAGCGATATCAGTAGCAGCGGCGTTAGTGGTTGTTTGTCAGTCAGTTGCTCACTGCTATCAGCTGTGCCACGAAGCTAATGGTGATAATTTTGAGCATCTACACTAAATTCACCAAGTGCCAATGCTGACATACGTAATGGTTTAGTTTATTGAAATTCCTTTTTTTCCATTAATTGGATGTGTCTACATTTTTGAGACACTCTGTATGTGTGGGTGGGTGCTTATAATAATACGTTTCTTACGTTTTTTTATTTGCCTCTTATTTAAAACTATAGTCATTCCTTCATTTATGAATTTTCAGTTTTAATGTCTACCGCATAAACGGAGAAATGACCTCATATTATTCGATTACTTTAAAATTCCTCTAAATTGAAACTTCATCCCTGCATGGACTGAGAGGACATTTTCCACACAGACAATAAAACTTGTGAATCCAATGTAGGAAAATGGCAGTAAAATAATGAAGCGCACGTCATCCGAGGGCAGTGGCGTTTCAGTGCCTTCTGCAAAGAAGATGCGCAGTAACTCCTTGGATGAAACAGAGCAGCACAGGTTGCTGAATGATGTGTCCCCCATACTTACCAATGACACTGGAATTGGAACTCCAAGGAAAGGAGCTGCTTGTAATCTGTTAGACAGGCCTGCCAACATCAGCAGACCGGTATGTGACAATTGTAACATCCTGTATTACCTTGTCCTCTGTTCTCGTTACCTTAGGTCAGAATTTTTTTAAATATTGTGTAGATATCGCACTAGTATTTTTTAAGTTATGAGCTAATGTGGGATATATGTATGTTTTAAACTGAAAAGGACACTGGTCAGATGTCTCGTATAGTAATAAAATAAGTTGATTTAATTTATATATTACATCAGTGTAATTTCTCATACCATTGATTCTTTAGCCTTCCATTAGGTGTCAGTATTGTGGATTAACAAGGGAGTTATACGAAAGTATCGCTGTACTCCCGTGGATTACTTGCCCTCTGATGGCCGGGTTTATTTTTGTCTGATCTCAATTTCGTGGAAGAAATGTGTGAATTTTAAATGTTTCTTAACTTTTTTTACCAGATCACGCCACCCTTAGATGTAGAAAGTGTATCACAGACGTTGAAGCAGAAGAATATACTTCCTTCACCACTCAAGTTTGGGTTTCTTGGCCTTGGAATAATGGGTTCAGGAATCGTCAAGAACCTTCTCAACTCTGGCCACTCGGTCATTGTGTGGAACAGGTCACCTGACAAGGTAAGACCCATTACCGTTTTCTGTTGGTTAAGTGGTTCAGGGGCATTGCTTTAGAGGCCGAGTTTCTGCATGCAGTTCACTGTTCATCCCTAAAGGATCTTTCTGTGATTAGAGCAGTCATTGTCAGGTGTAAGTAATGTTGTTAAAGGTACTTTATTTATGCCTGATAACAGAACCAGCATTTCTCCTTTGTTCTAGCGTTAGAGACACTTTGTTAAAATGCACACTATTAAATTTATTAATTTATTTATGGTAGCTGACAGTCGGCATTTAAATGGCCGAGTGCACAATATTAGAAAATGTTATGTAATTGTAAGAAAAGAAGTCTTCGACAACCTTAGAGGCCTCGAGAAACATAGGCAGAAATGGTGAAGAAATGTAGTTCCTGCAAATATAACAATTATGTGATACCATTACATCTTGCTTGAAGTGTGTTTGGATTCATCTGGCTTGGGGATCTTGTGAATGTGGTAATGAAGCTTTTGGTTCCATAAAAGGTGGGAAATTTATTGACTAGCTAATTGTACTACCGGATTTTGAAAGACTCAGCTGCACGGAAGTACAGGCAACTCTCGGTTTACGAACGAGTTCCGTTCCAAGACTTTGTTCGTTATGTGTGTCTTGCATTCCTGAGCTTTTACGATACGTATCGTATACGTTAGCAGCCATTTTAAAGCATTAAAACCATGTACTAATTATCATATAATAATTTTCTGATAATTATTGTAAAAAAATGCATTTTTAAAAAGTTTATTTATTTAAATCTTACAATTATGTTCACTATACGTTTGGCATTTCGTTTTGTAAGGAATTATATCTATTGGTGACTTTAAGAGATTTTAAATGAATTGTGGCATTCTTTATAGCGACGTTCGTAAACCGAGAGTTGCCTGTAGTTGGTCCAGAAGGAACCATTTTCAACTGCAACCATTGAAAACTCTAAAATGAAGAAGTTGGTTGTGATACTTGGCCCGTAATGTTAAAGGGAGAACACAGACTGAGGGTGTTTGAGAACAGGGTGCTCGGGAGAATATTTGGATCTAACAAGAGGGATGAAGTGATGGGAGAATGGAGGAAAGTGTATAATGAGATCCATAATGTGTACTCTACACCGAATATGAGCAATCAGATCAGTGAGGATTAAGTATGTGAGCACATGGGATGCATGAGAGAGACAAAATTTTAGTTTGAACACTTGGAAAACATGAAGTGAGGAAAGCGCTTCTTGTGAGACCTAGTTATAGATGGGAGGATAATAGTAAAATGGATCTTAAACCAGGTGAGAGGGTATGGATGGACTGATGGTGGCTGAGGATGTAGTTTAGCAGTGGGTTTTTGTGAGAATGGTAATGAACCATAGGTTCAATAAAAAAATAGGTAAAGTTTTGAACAGGTCAGCAACTATTGGCTTCTCAAGAACTGCTCCAAGGAGATATTGGGCTATTAATGATTTTCAGTGCGCATAAAAAATAGGAAACCATATTGCCTAGTACATAAAGTATTTCAACTTGGTTTCATAATTTATCTTCTTGTAATTTTCACTGTTTCCTCCTCGTAAGAGAGCGTTTTTTTTGGGTTCTTGTTCAGGCCATGGGTAATTTTTGGTTCTATTTGTTGCTCCAATGAGGAACAGAGCCTGTGTAATATTGTGTTTGTCTGTTCCTGTGGTTTTTTAAGTTGGTTAATCGTTACGAAACTTGGTATGAACCATCATGGCATTAAAAGCATCTCGTGTTCATACTTCATACTTCTCGCCATAAACAGTACCATCATAATGACTAAGAATACTTCTGTGTTAGGTCATTAATTTTTGTACGGTGACAGGTTTTTTAAAATGTGAGAACTTTCATCATGTCAAGTTTATGACATTTTTTTGATGATGGCTGTTGAACTTTCATAGGAGAAAAATGTTACAGTGAATCTTATATAAATTAACTTTTGTCTTAAAAATAGTAAGCATGGTGATGGCATGAATGTGTGATGTTATGATAATGCTATTCAAATTTTGGAGGTGTCTACCATAGATAAGGCACCGAGTTGCACGTTAATTAACAGTGTCGATAGCCTTTCTGTTCTAATGGAAGCTTTTGAATGTAAAAAGGTACAATCTTGTACCTACGCACCATGCCATAAAGGTGTATAGAGGGCATGAAGGAAACACTCCATACTTTCTTGATCACATCAGTAGAGAGGGATGAGTGGTCATTGGCGGGCCACAACTTCTTCGGGGATTGAGATTTCCTGTTATTGAATAGACGTTAAAATGTACCTTCGAGACATTCTTTCTGTTGAAAGGAAGATGGGTGTCTTAGTTTTTCCAGAACTTTTTTTATTTGAACTTGTCTTGATTCCTGGTGGTGTTCCATCAACTTTGTCACATTATTAGAACCAATTATTTTTGATGGCAAGATCTACTATGGAAGATTTGTACTTTTTATGCAATAAGTGGCTGATTGCAATATATTACATATGTTATTTCCAAAAATATGCATGAGTACAAAGTTACTGGGAACTCGTTCATGTTGAAATTTCTGTTCTGAACATAGAAATGTAATGGGCTTTCTTGATTGTGGCTTGCTTAGAGATGAAGTGTGAGCTTGAGGACATTTACAGTGATATTAAAGAGTTAGATGTTGAGTTCCGCATTCCTTAGATCATCTTCCTCCAGTAGGCGACATCACAGAGATAAGTCACATTTCTGACATCATTAGGATCGAAATAGCATGCCAGTGCAAGATTACTAGGATTGGATTGACATTACTTCTCGTTTTGTACCAAAGGAATAATTCAGAGAACTTTTCAGGAATTGTTGTGTGAGGCATACTGATTTAAGAGTACTTTTGAGTCAGAATGTGCAGAATTTGAGTTTTGCGAGTTTGACGTTCTGGCACGTGAATTGGATTTTTATGCGATGCTGACACTGAAAAATAAATGCCAGGATTTTGGATCCTGCGTGTACCGTGAAAGTCCAGCTCTGTTGTTTTAGGCTGCTCCTTCGGTGAATTTGTGGCAGTAGAAATTAAATATTACTGTCATTACTGCAGAGAGTCTTCAGTTTCTTTTATCTGTCTGTTTTGTTTGTCCATCAGAACTCACCATGACTTATGATGATTATTTTATATGGACCTAGTTATCTCATAGTAGGAGACTAAATTCCGGAAATGCTTGCTACTTCTCAGTCCAAAATATTTTGTCTTCCCGTCTGATTTCTAAGAACTTGAAAATTAAAGTATACAAAACAATAATCTTGCCCGTTGTTTTGTATGGGTGCGAAACATGGTCTCTCACTCAGAGGGAGGAACACAGATTGCAGGTGTTTGAGAATCGGGTGTGGGAAACCTGAAGGGAAGAGACCGCTGGTGAGACCTAGACGTAGATGGGAGGATAATGTCAGGCGGGATCTATGGGGGATAGGAGTTGAAGGAGACTGGATTTTGTTGGCCCAGGACAGGGTCCGGTGGAGGGCTTTGGTTAATTCGGTGATGAACCTTCGGGTTCGGTAAGCCATCTAGTTAGTTAGTTAGTTAGTTATCTCATAGTAAGACAGTGAGTGGGCTTGTTTAGAAGGTTCTGGGTTTTATCCGTGGTCAAGTCTGTGTGCAGCCTTCTTCCTGCCTACAGACTGAAGCATTCACCTCTGCCAGTATGAAGTATATGGGGCACCCCTTGTGGTTTAGATGCGGCATTAAACTGTAGGTCCTCTTTGTTCAGTGGGTGTCCACACCCCACAGCAAAGCTTTTAGTTGTGACTAGGGTCACCATAGGCAAGGATAGGAAATCAGAGACCATCCCTGGGGTCATGAGAAAAACCCCACTGTCATAATGACTGAAATCAAATATTTGGGCGACGTAGTATTATGTGGAGTCCGTATTTTATACATTATCTTCATGTTCGATGCTTACAACAAATTGGTGCTGTCATTGTCTCAATGCTAAAAGATAAAAATGTATGTAAATATTTGTTGAATGAGAGCCAGTAGTTTGTATACTGCGACCAAAAGTAGTGCTCACACTTTGCTTCAATCTTCGTGTGATACTTGACAAAGGTTCCATTACTTCTTGCATCAGTGGGATCTCTTGTCACATATTACATATCAGAGTCTTTGGAACAGGGATTTTTATGTAGGATTTGAGGTTCTCGCAGCAGAAAGAATGAAGATGGCTGTTTTCTGGGTTGTAGTGCAGTGTAATCTGGTAGGAGTTTACTAATATTTCAGAGGTACTTGCTGGCTCCATCTTCAGGGTGATTAGGTCTATTTTCGGGCTGATGATGGAGACAGCACATACCTCTGATATGCTGTAAACTTCTACCAGATTACACTGCACTACAACCCAGAAAACAGCTATCTTCAGGGAGTTTTATGTTAGTTCTGTTGCTGAAAACACTACATTACGCAAAGTTAAGGAATATTTTTACGGCTGTGGTGATTACAGAGGAAATGTGCAGTGCTTTTGACAGAGAGGTCAGAGGAACAGTAGGCATAATTTCCACTGCATCTGTTGGCATTTTGAAACCACTGTGTACGTCAACAGTCGTATGTTTGGTACTGTCTTGTTCAGGAAAAATAGTACAAATTTATGTTTGGATTTGTGGTTGGAGAGAGGGGGTGAATGGAAAATTTAAAAAAGTTTAAGTTTGGTCACGTATTTATATTATGGGCAAGAAAATAAGACATGCAGAAAATACAGCAGTATAATCTTTACAGTTTCTTTATCTGAGTTGTAAATGATCTACAAATCTACTGGATGAATTAAAACAGTCCAGTGACAACAAAGAAATACTGATTTTTATATCTTCAACTTAATGATCATTTTTTCCATAAAAATATAAATGTTCAGTGCTGTTTGGTTCTTCCATTAACAAAGATATAATTCCCCCTCACCCCACTTTTGGCAGCTGGGTAGATCTGACATCATGTTATGTACTTATTTGAAAATATTATTCTTGCTGCTAAGATAGCGTAATAAGGAAAAGAAGAGGAACCAAACACCTTTTTTTTCCTCCATGTTGGAATAGTGTTTCCCCCTGCAATACATCATGACATAGGTATCTCCCAAAGTTATGTCAACATCTCAAAATATACTACAGTTTTATTAACGTTATATGCTTTAGCCTTTATTGGCCGTTTGTTGTGGCTTGCAAGTGAATCGTTCAAAGTGCGTTAAACTGTTAACCCCAGAGCAGCCAGTAGCCTGTTAGTACCAAAATTTGAATCCCCTACCCCCATACTGTAAAGGTTAAAAAGTAAACACAGAAAATACAAAGTCCATTTTAAGAAAAAGATAAGTAATTCTTTAACAAAATTATGTTACTGGATGTAATATTTTCGGATTTCTCGCCAGTAACAAATATAATATAGGCACTCCTTTGGCAGCGCTGAATAAATATTATTTGTTTTTATTATAAAACTGAAGCTGCAGCAAAACATCTGTGGATACCATCATGAGAAATCACGCATCTTAAATGCTTTGGGAGCACCTTTTCCCATAATTTCTTTATGTTGCTCTATGCCCTGTAAATTCTCTCAACATTTGCATAAAAATATGCAATACTGAATTCAGTGTTTAAATATAGTGAAGGTCTTCATTACTTATAATTTTTATGTAGAAACACATACCTCTTCAGCTTACGGAACTGATGAATAATTTACTTCATATGAAATAATGACCTGTGGACTTCGTGTGCAAGCTCAAGGCGGTCACAGAGAACTCACAGATACTTTCAATTAATCAAAAATTTTTCCGCACAAGCACAGACATATGGAAAATATGATCTTTTCTACATAGGATTTTAAGAAATCTACTTTTGGAACATTTTCTTCACACCAGTGGTAAATTAGTATAAGTGCACCTGCATTCAGAAAGTTAACATTATGTAAAGCAAAATATAATTGTCTTCTTCCGTCATTATGTTTTGACCTCTAAATTGTGCACTGATTTGAGATTATAATGAACACCTAAAAATTGTTTGGAACAGAATAAATATTGCATGACAATAATACTTTGTAACATTAAGAGCAGGATTATTTTGAAAAGTCTCTTCACCGTCATTATATTTATAAAACTAGAATCAAACTTAACATCCTTTGTTTCCTTGTAGGTTCCTTTCAGAGTCCCGAGTGTTTCACATTCCTTTTAAAACTTACAACAAAAATGCTGCACAGTAGACCCCAGAAAGCAACCAATAAAAGTAACTGCATAACTTTTTATTAACTTGCAGTACATTTTGGAATATCTGCATGTTCTGTAGTTAAAAACACGCCTAAAACATTCTAAATGTGGATGCCCTCAATAAGATGCAAATAATAAACTGTATTTTCATCCTTATGTGTTTAAATAAATGTTAAAATTATGAGCGGGTTTCCTGATTGAATTTCTACATCATGATCATGCATTATATATTTTTACAAAGAAATCAGAACATACGTGGGATCATATTATCATTTCCAGATTTTTACTTTCCCTGTATTTTTATAATCGCATCTTTAGGGAGACTGAACACTTAAAATTCATTTGTGGCCTCACTATACAGGACAGCATTATTTTAGTTGGTAAACTTCTGCAGCTAAATTTACCGCAAAATGTAATAGTCAAGTCATTGAATAATTTAAGAAGTGTAAAATGCTAAAATGGTTATGAGCTCCAATGTTTCATGTACAACATTGTGTTACTCCACATAACAAAATATAATACTAACAGTGAATTTAAGACTATTTTGAAATAATTTTAATACCCTCAAGATTACATTAGAAGGAAACTATTGAAAAATTATGACCTTCAAGTTCAGAAGCCAGTTTAACATGAAATGGCAACTGGAAAAATTTATGTTTATGGAATGAAGGGGCATAAAGCGTTCCTTTAAAATAAATTAATACTATTGCTAGCTTTAGTAACATTAAACCCAGAAATTTGCCATGTATGTCTTCAAGAATTAATTGTATAGGACATGGGAAAGATTCTGTTTGCTTGAAGACATACATACCAGGATATGTTTTAAAAACTATTGTACTTACGCACAAGAGTGTAAAAGTCAGCCACACTGTTTCAGCTTCCACCTCTGAAATCTTCTTTCTCAGTACACTTCAACATCTTAATCAAAATAAACCACTTTCCTATCACAGTTACTGAATAAATTAATCAAGTATAGGTTACCTCATTTTAACCTTACAAAAAAAAATCCTACTTGGCACTACAAGGCAGTTTCATGTTGCGGTATCTTTGCTAAATTGCCACTAGGTACAGCATCTTTAATAGTTATAGCTATATAGTTTTCTTTCTGAGGTGAACTTAGTTCTGGCAAACTTGCACTAAAATTATAACCATGGACATTGGTAACTGGCAGAAGGATGGATACTTCTTCTGCGGAAGCAGTTTCCTTCGTTTTTGTTGCACTTTTAAACACGGCACAAGGATCGTTTAAAGATTTCACTGAGTGATCATACTTTGTGTACCTACACAATCTTTGGCGAGAATTAGGAGTTAAGAAATAAGGCGATGTTTGCGGCTCAGTAAGCTCTTTATCTTCCTCATCATCTTCTAGCTGTAATTCTTTTCTTTCATCAAAAGAACCATCCATTCTAGCAACCAATTCATTCATGAATGTTCCTGGAGATAAATGTGGGCTTTCTGAGAGTTCGGTGGGTGTGTAATACAAAGATAAGTGGCTCTGAGTATCTTCTGATGTGTTAGTTTCATCTAGGTTATTGCAAGTGTGGTTCAGCTTTGCTTTTATATACATGTCCATTCTTGCAATATCTGATGTGTCAAACACAAGTGAATCAGTGCGGCCACAGGAACCCGATCGACAGTTTTCCAGGTAGAGACTTGGCAAATTCTCCAGTAATTTATTGAGGGTCTGCTGTTGATATTTGTAAGATTCACGAAAACGGAGAACTTGATGAGCGCTGAATTTTCGGATGCGGTTTCGTTGGAAGACATAATTCTCTCGCACCCAGTTGAGCTGGCCCGTAGAATATTCACGAACTCGTTTAACCTGAAACATAAACTGCCGTATAACATCTGGAATGCTGTTATCATGGGGGTAAATTTGACAGTTCATTTTCCATATGCACATGTGACTGATCCTTGCAAAGGATTCTTTTCATGATGGAGACAACTGATGGTATTTACTTTGTCAAATAAGAAAGAGATAAGGTAAATTTGTTTTATACCTGGTCATAGTATTGGTCTCGCAGTGCACTGAGATGGTTCGTGCCGTAATCGCGAATGTCACGCAGGTGTTTGACTTGGCCCTGGTAACTGGACTGAATCCATTCCACTTGTTGAGCACAATTATCCTTGATTCTGTGCACCTAGCATGTATAAATAGCACTAGCTTAGTGAACTGGAAGGGTCATGTAGGGTTTATAATATGTTGAAGAGTAGTAGTATTTTAACTTTTGAGAGTTTAAAACATTTTATAAACACAGTCCATATTTTAACAGTAAAGGCCTACAGCTATTGAAGTGGCAAGTTAAAACTTTAGAAAACTCTGAGGAGTGGGATTTATTCTTGCGTGGACATTTAGAAGGTTTCAGGCTTGAAGCTACATTTTAATAGTTCATGAACAAAAATAAAGTAAACTTTTTCTTGTCAAAATAGGATATTGATATTTTCACTTCCAAGAATTTGATTTTAGAACTCTTTTCATTTAGTAAATAATTAGTTGGAAAAGTTTAGATGAAAAAAAATGCATTTGTATTTGTTATTGTGTTTGGATTCCCAAAAGTCTATTTCAGTATCATTTACGCGCAGGCTTGTTAAATCGTAGCAGTATAATGAACCTCACAGTGGAATTATAAATATGTCTACAAATTCAATTGTTCATGCAACATATAAATATATTTGTTTAGAATATAAAAATTAATGACTTTATATGGCATTAAAATTGAAGAGACCCACACAGAACATGCAAAATTAAAAGTTATAAAGACACACAGAACACTAGTTGACAGAAAAGCAATTCCTGGATCATATAAACCGCAGTAGTCAACACAAACTATTCGGTTACTGAGAGGAATTAAATAATTAAGAAAAAAATAAATTTAATGATATGTACAATGACATTTTTCCCAGTTTCAAAATATGTGCATTAAATACCACTCAGAATTTGCAGACATATAAACGAAGCTGTT